TGTCAAACTCTTCATATCTTGTAAACCATGCCTTATCTCCACAGACATGCTGGTTAGCTCCAGAATCGCTTAGCCACACTTGTTCAGTCACGGGTGCTTGCATGGGGGTTTGTATTGCATTTAGCATGAACGCTTTCCCAGGGCTTCTATTGGCTTGTGCGGGATTATCTGAAGGTTTATTGCTCTGATTTTTATGCATTTTATTGCTCTGACTCCTGCATTCCCTTTTCCAGTGGCCCTTTTTCCCACACCCATGGCAGGTTGTTGCCTTTTTCAACTCTTCAATGCTCTGTTTCTTCTTGCCTTTCTTCTGGTCATGGGTCAAGAATGCCTTTGCTGCATCTTGATTGGTTGCTGCTGGTTTGGATTCCTTCCTCTCCAACTCCTCCTTCTTCAGACGGGCAAGTAGCATTATCATGCTCTGGTCCTTATCCGGAACGCTGTCCCATGCCTTTTTGAAAGCATTATACTCCTCGTCGGGGAGACTTGAGACAATCTTTGTGACAATGGATGCTTCAGGCATGACGACTCCCATTTCATTTAGTCTTCTGCCCAGCTCTTCCACCTCTGCAAATGCTTCAATCAATGACTGACTCTTGCCAATTTTGTAATTGAAGAATCTAGCCATGGTATGTTGCTTGTTAAGCGAGCTTGAATCTGAATTGATGCTTTTCAGCTTGTCAAACATTGCTTTTGATGTAGCGCAGTCATAAATATGATTTGTTTGAGTGGCACTGAGAGTGGGGACAATGATGGATTGTGCTTGTATATCCTTCTTATCCCATGCTGGCTGTTGTGCTTCATCTGCAGGTCGTTGGGTAGTGCCGTTGACCACTTCCCACAGGTCATGTGACTTGAGAAGTAAAGTTATCTGAAGTCTCCACCTCGCGTAATTGGTGTCGTCTAGCTTGACAATGTGCGTAACATCTATTCTTTTGATTGTTGATGTCATCTTGTCGTTGTGGAGTAGGGAAAGCAGAAGCGAAAAACAGAAATAGACTTGTTACCTTCTCTTTGCCTAATAAAGAGCAGTAGAATCGAAAAAGGTCGAGATTTGGTAGACGGGAACTCAGGATTTGGGTAGAGTGGTCGTCCTCAATAAAACTCGTCCTCGGGCGGAAGGTTCAGCTTCGGGTAGAGTCAAAGGGTTGATGTCTCTTGTCCAAACAATGGTCCAATTCACGGCACACTTTTACAGGCTTACTCCGTCCAGACTGGCACTGGGCAGTGGAGACTTACTGCTATTATTAACTGATGAATTGACCTTTTCACTTCACAACAATAACACTGATCTACTTCAGTTTATCAAGTGTTGAACAGGAAACAGTTCTTCTCGTTGTGAGACTTTAACAGACTCTGAGACTGGGGCACTTTTGAGACACTCAATGAGGCAGGTTGAGACCAACAATATGAATCATACAAACTCACGGCTTTGCTACCATGAAAGTAAAAATGATCTCGCTGGAAGATATTTTTAGACTGATGGTGATTTTTATTAAACAACTTGGTTTTAAGGTTTCGACAGTACATAGGAGACATTCATACATATGTAATAATATGTGGTCAGAAGTGACCATACAAACTACGCAGAGTTATGCTCAAACGAAGTGTCCCTTCTAATGAGGCATAAAAACAAAAGGACCCTTTTAATCCCTTGTCCTGGGAAAAAGGTTGGAAAATGCTCAGCCCTCATAAAAGTCGACAAACTTAAAAATTGATAAATATGGAAAACTTTGTTAACATGCATATTTTAACAATTTCCACTCCTTTTCCATACTTATCTGAAATGTTAAATTTTTCAAACTCGTACTGTACCATGCTTTCCGGGGCATAGCGTGATCCCGTGGGCAGAATGATTTTATCAAACGCGTCAAGAAATTCGGCCACATTGTGATATTCTACCGGCTTTGTAGGAGCAATTACTTCACCGACAATTAACGATTCATACAGTAATGGAATAATCAAGCAGATTAAAGCTGTCAATGTATGTCCAACGGTGAAATTCTTTACCGGCTCGCGCAGCAGATAGGAAAACATAAAGTAAATTTCTAACAAGACTGATCTCACGTCATTAATATGGGACATATTGTGAAACGGCGCTACCAACATGACTACCAGGATGGCAACCCAAACCGTCCAATGGAACGGAGTCAACCATACGGTCCACGTTGTAGGAAATAGTGTATGTTTTCTACAATATACTACAATTGGAACAATCTCCAAAAAATACGCCAGCGACTGAATTTCCCACACATTGTAGTCCGTGGTAAGGAAAGCATTTTGAAAAATGTATGTAGGACGAGCCGCTGCAACGTTTCCATGCACATTTTTTTCTACTACCGTAAAATTCAAGACAGCCGCCATTATTTCTATTTCATAAAAACGACCGACGCACTTATGATCCATTGGTGCCCTAGATTTAAGGTTTTCAACACAATTTCCTTTCCACACAATATCCAACAAGGTAATCTTTACCCCGTTGTAACCATACGTACCTTGAGCACGTGACGGTTTGAATACAAACGAAGAATATCTACATCCAGCCTAGAACGGATGAATTGGTTGCTTCCTCGAACATAATTATAGATACGTCCGTCCCATCGAATAGCTTTAAATATGCAGGGATATTCTCCCCAAAACAGATAAAACATGTGAAAACTAGTCCTAAACCAGAATATAAACATAGCATCAGATTTTCCCAGGTAATAGTTGAACATGTAGAAATCCTTCCAGTCGTATTGTGGGTATTTCGTGTAGTAGTTGGGCTTATGAATATGAACAACTACACAAGGCGATGACAATTTTGCAACTTTGGGTTCAATTACCAAATCAGACCAGTAAATTTCTTTTTTGAAAGGAAAAAGTCTATTAAATTTTACCCAGGTGAATAAAACTGAAGCTTTGGTGCCTTCTAATACGTGGAAGTTGTGAATTTTCGTAGCAGCTGGATCATCGCCCGTCCATTTTTGATAAAAGTGACAATCCATGGAATTTGAAAGGACGACGTTATTGCTCAAAATTGATAGGAAACAATATACTACGATTTTCATTTTTTTAAATATTATTTTAGAATTTAGTTTATCGCTTGAACGATCCTCTCCTGTTTTTAAAGGAACAACTAGAGCTATGTTTATGTCACGTATTAATCAACACTCGTAATGTTATGCTACACCATAATATACGCCGAAATATGCTAAGGTTTTGGCACCTGATTTTTTTTATATCGACGCAAAAATTTTGTCAACCGGCGCAGGGCCTTGTCCACCTTAGAGAGTCGATAATTGTCAACCAAGCTTATACCAAGAAAACAAAGAATGTTTGTAATTTCCACGAGTAAGAACAACTTATGTATCTGGTCGACATTAGTCCTCACTTGAAATCGTTTCCAATTTAGGTCGTCGGAAGGTCACCTTTTCACATTCTCATAATCGAGCGGAAACGCACTTATATAAAATGTATAACAATTATGTTGCTCAGTATGAACAGTACAATTAATATTAATAGTATTCTGAACTTAATTGCAAATATCGTGTACTTTATAAATTACCCTCTAAAAACCATTTCAAAGGAAAACGACAGGCCAAATTTACAACGATGCATGTATCGATGCCAAGCTCATTTGCCGTACGCATGAATTTACAAAAAATTTAATGGCTAAAAAACTAATTGTAAGACACGCAGTGCGCTTCACTCCATGCATCGCAACGTTAATGTGTATACATCACACTGAGGAAGAGTATGCTACAGGGGGAAATATCTACTAATTTTCTATTTCCACTGAGAATATGTCAATATTAGTTGTTTCAAAGACGTTAATTATGCACATTCTCGTAAAGAGATTTCAGATGGCTTCCGTCTTTTCAGGTGCAAGGTTTCAAAAATTGACACTTAGCATGTTTAAAATCGGTTTTAAACTTCAAAATCGATTTTTGACCCGATTCCGATCGGCTCTACCGCCAAATCTGGACCACAACAAATTAATTATTTATATATATTTAATGTTAGGGTTTACCAATTTAAGTATTTAGATATTAGGTTAGGAATTAAGTATTTTACCCGTGACGGTTAACAACAACGTTTTTCCGACAAAAAAATTCCTACAAATTTCATTTTATGGGGATTCATTAGACAAATAATATTACAATTATGTACACCATTTCCTTCAAAGCTGGGTTTTAATAATCAATAACTCGATCAATCAATACTTATTTGAGATTAATTGAATAAAAAAAAAAATAATAATAATGCAAGTGGTTTTGGACTATACTACACTGTGCACAAGGCTGGGGTAGTCACTTGATTATGCAAAAGAATTTTCACCTAACCAAATATGGATTTATTCATTTAAATAAACATTAAATGTAATTATATTTAATTATATTAGAAAAATGTTTATTAGAAATATATTCTTCGATATCGTCAGGTTAACGAGCCGTTCCTACATAATTGGGGTACGTACCATTTAGACATCCTCTATTTATGCAGTGGGTTGTGCCGGAAAATACTCATGCATATAATATTAAAATCATTTTTAGAACATACAGATTGATCTGTAAATTAACAAATGTAAATTACATTTGCATTACATTACATTATGTAATGTTATGTTTTACTTTTGGGTTATCTCGAAAAATTGTTTAAAGAATTTTCCAATGTTTGACAGAGGTAGGATTAGCCTAGCCATGACCAGGCCCATTCGGGGCCCCTGGTCAGTACGGCTCTGAATTCGAGGATTCTTGGAAGAAATAATATATTTGTTTAAAGAATATTTATTTCCTGTAAAGTGTTGGACGAAATTTTTGCTTCGCTAGGTCTACAAGCTAAATATATCGAAAAATGAGTGCCTACTTAGTTCACTAGGCAATGGCGGTCCTATTAATCAACAACTGTTGCATATTCTGTTTGCTAAAAAATTGCCTACTAGAAATTGCTTGAAATAAATTAGCGTAAAATATTTTCCAGTGCTATATAAATTCGGATTTTTGCTTTGAAGAATTATATTTTGCTCGTATTTTTTAATGATTAAAAAGTTTGTTTAGAAATATTTTCAAATCCATCGACGCGTTTCAAGGGGGCCATCCGGAGTCAAATTTAGTCGTATTCACAGTCAAATAGCTCAATGCATTGATTTTCGATACATGTGCTACATGTATCTATAGAACAGTCAGACGAGGCGACGCATTCGACATACTCGTTCCCGACGTAAAGTCGGGCCCTCTAAAAAATATAAGTTTACTTGAGACAGGAGTTAATATTTTTTAGAATCAATTCACATTGGTGATTTACCTCAAGATTTGCGTCCCCTTTGAATGATGGGATGGATTCCACTTGCGATGTGAAAATTGATTGGACAAGGAGGAAGAGTATAATTTTGGAAATCATTGTTTCTGAGTTTCGAAAAAATTAAGATTTTTAACAAATCGGTGTGATAGTTATGTTCTGGATAAGTTTTCTCCTCAAAGCTTATTTATACTAGGAACAATTTGTATTAAACATCCACTCAGGGTAATTAAGAACCGTAGTTGACAGGAAGTAGTTAGGAAACTAATTTATGGAATTCCCAAAACTAATTTACGAAAGTGGATTACGCCGGATATTTTTCAATAGATCATAAATATCCTCACTGCTTTTTAATTGCTGTCGAAATGAGCACATTCGAACTCCTTAAATGTTTATGAATAGTACCTGTCACAACTAGGGCATCCAAAATCGGAAATTTTTTCAAAACCGGTTTTCGATTTTTCCGGTTTTACAAATTTTCGTAAAACCGGTTTTCGATTAATCCGGTTTTCACAAATTTTCGTAAAACCGGTTTTCGGTTTTTCCGGTTTTCGTAGGTTTTCCTAAAACCGGTTTTCTATTTTCTCCAAAACCGGGTTTAAACCGGTTTTAAAACCGGTTTTTGCAAAATTATTACAAAATAAATAGTAAAGTTTACCGTGCACAAAAAATATAGCATTATTTTGAGAGAAAAAACATTTTAAACCAATTAATTCTTACTTTTAAATCAAGAAGTGATAAATTGTAGCTCTCAAACAGTTGTCATTCTACAAAATCGATAACCGGTTTTAGAGTATGACAAAACCGGTTTTAGAGTATGACAAAACCGGTTTTAGAGTATGACAAAACCGGTTTTCTGCAAAACCGGTTTTTACGAAAATCTTAAAACCGGTTTTTCTCAAAACCGGTTTTTTAGGAAATAGTAAAACCGGTTTTCGAGTTACTCGATAACCGGTTTTTAACCGGTTTTTCAAAATCGGAAAACCCAATTTTGGATGCCCTAGTCACAACATGGTGCCGGTTAAGCAGGGGTGGCCAAAATACATGATCTCAAAATACAAATTACAGATACACTCAAAAGTCCAAAATACATTTGAATTTAAAATACATTTCTGGAATATTGCACAAAATATATTACAAAATAAAAAATACTTTTGGATTTATTGTAAAATACAAAATACTTCTTGTATGTAATTCACAGCAACTGTACTGCAACCAAAAACTGTTACTACAATTTAAAATTTAAAAAATATGCTGATTTAATTTCAGAAATGGTGAACATGTCATCCATTTCCAAAATTAAAATCAGCATATCTGTCAATTAAAAATGGGTTTTAAAATTGATTGTAAAAAAAATTCCCCCTGTGAATCTGGCTACAAATATGTGGCTTATTAAGCTACAATTTTGTAACTTCATACACTACGATTTTGAAATACTAAGAAATAAAAATTCGTGGAACAACTATTTTCCTATGGATGTACCCACTATAGCTCGCAATGGTCCATATGGACCATTTGGTCCAATGTGGACCACAAAGTTTAAGTGGTCCATGTGGACCTTGGATCATGTGGCTATGGACCATGGACCAATGGACCACAAATGGTCCATAATGGACCATGGACCACAAAATTCGAGTGGTATATATGGACCATTCCCCATGGACCACAAATGGTCCATAATGGACCATGGACCACAAAATTCGAGTGGTATATATGGACCATTCCCCATGGACCATTATTTTGCGAGCTATGGTACCCACAGTAAAACATATTTAATAAGAACAAAATTTAAATCATGGCTGAATACTATAAAAATTCCCCTAGAGGAGAGTAAAATACCAAAAATTGCGACGTAAAAAATAAATAAGAAAATCATGCATTCACTTTGCCAGGATAATAGGTGACTCTCGCTTCAAGTATTTTGAAAATGTATTTTGGATCAAAATACATTGTCTCCGAGTCACAAAATACAGATACAAAATACAGATGCTTTCTCGAGCTCAAAATACATTAATTAGGCAGAGTATCTTAAGTATTTTAAAATACTCTGCCTAAAACTTGTCCGAAAATACGTATTTTGTATTGTAAATACATTTGTATTTTGAAGATACTCTATTTTGGCCACTCCTGCGGTTGATTATGATAACTACGGGTAATAAATAATCACCAGTACGGTTCTGGCATTACGGCAGATTCAATTATCAAGTCGACAGATGACAAAGTGTTTAACAAAAATGATAGACAGATATTTGTAATTTCCATAAACAAACTCCAAATGGATTATTGTTAAGTATTTAATTTCATTAAACAAAAGTATACTAAAAATTTAATTATAATATTAGTTACTTTTATATATTAGGTTTAGGTCCTTTTATAGAAATTAATTCTGCACAGGTAAGAAGGGCTATCACTACATAAACTGCCCCACGTGTATCTTATTTCCTTTCTGTACGGAAATGCAACAATTGAGATGTTTAAAATATCCTGTATCGATCTCTCACGAGGAAGGGTTCCCGACTGCATATCGTCCCCAGGGTTCCCACTATACTTTTTGAGCCTACTGGAGCCCAAGTTGAAGGATCCATTCATATTTCCGTGCAAAACTCATATTTGGCGCCGTAGGGTGGCGCCAAACTCGCCAAATTCACTTGATTTTATTTTTTAAACCGCCAGAACTTTTGAAACAATGGACCGATTTTCAATATTTTGTCATTAAAATGATCACAAAGAGTTAGATTTTTCACAAAAAATAAGAATAACTCTATTTATCTTTTTTGAAATTTTCGCAATTTCGCTGATCGGCCCAAAAATGCTAAAAATTTTATTTTTGATTTTTCAATATTTTTCTTCAAATTTCGACCTCTTTGGTCATCTTAATCCAAAAATTTTTGAAATCCCGCCAAAATTACAAAAGTTATGAAGGATTGAAAGGAGGTTACCGTGTAAGGTCAATTTTACGGCTAATGAGTTTTTTTCCGTTTTTCTATACTATTTTCTATACTATTGATGTCAGATGACACAAAATATCCGGTCAGTGGCAGTAAATACTTCAAAAATTTTATTACAGTTATTCATAATATATCCTGATATATTTGTACAAAATTCGCAACAGATCGGACAAAATATTGATGTTCTGAAACACACACATAGATCGATCGTTAGCATCGTTTAATTGAAATCTTGCACAAATATATGTATAATAGACTTAGTTGGGAGTTAAGATTGCGGCTCCAAAAACGGGGCTCCAAAAAAGTCAGGGCGACGTCTGTCACCTTCCCGAATAAAATCGAAACAATTAATGGAGACAGATGTCGTCGTCACCAATTTTAATTTACGAGTATCACATGACGACATACTTACATCTTTATCACGAATTTAGGATTTTCTTCGATGACGACGTGTGCCAGTTTAATTTGTTTGATTATGTAGTCAAAGTTAAATTTTTGATAAAACTATTTTGCAATCTAAATTGTGATAACCGTTTCGCAAACCATGTAACCCTCTTACACTCCCGCGATAATTTACCTCGTGGCGACGACCCTATATTTTTGGATACATTTTTGTAAAAAATTAGAAATAATCTTGCAGTCATTATTTCTGCAATTAGTTTGTAAATTAACTATGAATACAATCTCATAGAAATGAGGTTTTTTTACATAGCAGCATGTACATGTTTTACTGCACATTGTAATGTTCTAGATTGATGGGACGGAAAAAAAAACATGTCCAAAGTACAAAGCTGTTTATCTGTATGTTTTATTGTCATGTTAATACTAGCAATTATAATGCAAATAAATCTGCTATATGTACATACTGTAGAAACGGATAAGAGTGGTAACTCTGACGTCATTTTGCCCCTCTTGCCAGATACGTATGAAAGCAGTGTAACGCCACCACCACCACTCAATAATTAAATCATTCTTCAGATCTGAATCTAGCATTTTGACGTTCAAGTTTTACACTTGAACTTGAACTTGAACTACACTTGAACTTTAAAATCATAAGAAACTCCGCACTTATTTATTTAGTCTTATTGGAAGTAATTTAAAAAATATATTAATGGAAATTGCGATATTCATGAAAAATGTGAGAAACGAGATTAATGAAATAAGTGCAGAATTTTTTACCATTTTAATAACTAGCGTAAAACTTGAACGCCAAAATGCTAGATTGCGATCTGAAGAATTGATTTAATTATTGAGTGGTGGTAGTGGCGTTACACTGCTTTCATACGTATCTGGCAGGAGGGGCAAAATGACGTCACAGTTACCACTCTTATCCGTTTCTACAATAGAATATAAATACGAATATGTAGATATTATTATACATTGTACATATACCTAAGTACGTTATCAATTCGTCGTTATTTTGCAATGTATTTATCACACGTCAAATGCAGAATATCGGAATCTATTCATCGAAAGGTACATATCCCGTTAAGCACAGTTATTTAACTCCTCACATTTTTATTAAACGTTTCATAACTTGATAAATTAGGGACCGTGTGCAAACTCGCGAACTAACAAATTATACATATTTTTATTTGCCCCTGCTGCACGTATGTAGTGACAGTAAACATTTTCAAAGTGATTTGCATTAAAATAAAAAAAATGCCGACAACAATTTTAGACTGTATTTGACATTGCCAGAAAATATGACAACGTGCAGTGAATCACATAGATATCTGTATAAATATAGCTTTATTTGGTCAACTTCAAATCATTCTGTAAAAAATACGACTACACTAATATACAAATTCTACAAATATATAGCTAACCAACAGCATCATGTTTAAAATACATCAGATATTTCTTACTGCTGCCCTCTATGCCATATTCTTTGATATAAAAAGGAGCAGAAAGCAAAAGGAGTTGCTCAATATCTACTGCGGTACGTTGATGATGCGAAATGCGCGTCAGGAAATCCTGCCACAAGTCTCAACTCTACGTCTGAAGTGGAACAAGAGTTTACCACACCAGGAGACGGGGAGCAAGTATTTCTCAAAGTTATAGGCTAGTGAGTTGTTATTTAATTTCATATATTTGCATTTGTTGAATTATTTGTTGCCGTGACGACGTTAACTTGATTTTTTTTATTCAACTGGAGGTTAACCCAGTACAACGAACTAGGCGAACCTGTCCACTTCTACTATGACGGAAACGGTGAGCATTGTCAAGACGTGTGGACGTTGTACAACCACCGATGGACAGCAACCCGGCTTGGGGATCCATTCCAGATCGAGAAGGAAATT